AAAAACTGGCCCCGGGGAAAGGGTCGGACTTCCGGGGACGCCGTCCTGCAAAAGTCAGGACGTCGCATGTTTGGGCTAAGGCCGAGGTGCCTCAAACAATGTAAGTCCACCCTTGGATCCCTTCCTATCCTCAGGACCCCATCCCAGACATGCGACGTCCTGATTTTTTCAGGACGGCGTCCCTGGAAATCCCGACCCTTTCCCCGGGACCAGCTTTTTATCCTGAGCCGCTTTTGGACGGCCCCGAGGCCCGGCGAGGGCCCCCCAGGGCCGAACAGAGGCCAACACCCCCCCCCGTCCTGACGTTCTTGTGCGACGCGATCCCTTCCTAGCCTTGGACCCCCTCCGATCCTTGGACCCCTTCCTGTCCTCAGGACCCCACCCCGCGGGACCCCACCTTGGGAAACCACCGAGCTCGGGCGTGTGGCCGCACCAGCCGCCGGCGGAGCAGCAGGGGAACTGCCCGGCGGGGTCGCACCCGGCGCTGCTGCCGTCCTGTACGGAGACATGTCCGACGCAGTTTGGAGGCTCTTCGCAATTCTCGGCCTCATCCTCATCCTCATCCTCATCCTCATCATCCTCATCCTCATCCTCATCCTCCTCCTCCTCCTCCTCTTCCTCCTCCTCCTCCTCCTCCTCACCCTCACCCTCACCCTCACCCTCATCCTATCCTCATCCTCACCCTCACCCTCACCCTCACCCTCACCCTCACCTCATCATCCTCCCTCCTCCTCCTCCTCCTCATCCTCATCCTCATCATCATCATCATCATCATCATCATCATCATCATCATCATCATCATCATCATCATCATCATCATCACCATCATCATCATCATCATCACCATCATCATCATCATCACCATCATCATCACATCCAACGCAATAAGGAAACATCGACACGGAGGCGCTTCGCAGCTCTCGACCTCTGTAATGGAAGGGGCACTCGCTGGGCACCAGGGCCGCCAACAGCGGCTCCGGATGCAGCAGCCGGCCCTGGGGCATGCGTCGGAGAGAGTCCCAGGGACCCGGCATGGAACGAAATCGTGACATCGGATCTCTGGGTGGGGGGGGGGGGAGTGCAGAGGGAGCAGTGTCTGCCGCCGCGGCGCGGCAGGAGAGTGCCGACTCGCGCGCTCTGGCATAGCTGGGGCAGGGCGCAGCGCAGGGGGCACCAGGCGATGCGGCAGCTTGCCGGAAGAAGACTTCGAGGGAGGAGGGAGGAGGGAGCTCTCCCCTGGGGGGGGTGGGCGGCGCGAGAGCGCGAGGTTTATGTCGGGCGTGTCCCCCTACAAGGGGATTTTCGACGAAAAAGAAACAATACCCCACCAATACCCCAAAAAGTTCAAAAAATAGTTCCCGGACTATTTTTGGAGCATTTTCTAACTATTTTTGGGGTGTTTTGTATTCTTCGTCGAAAATCCCCCTGTAGGGGGACACGCCCGACTCAACGCGAGGGCGTTCGCTCTTCGCGCTTCGCGCAGCGCGAGGCGCGAAAGCAGGCGCCCTCGGCAGGCACGGTCTTCTGCCGACACGCCTTGGCAGTGCGGCGTGGCGCCCACGGCCGGGCGCGCCCGCCTCGCGGCGCTCATTCTTCGCCGCGCTTGGAGGGCCCAGAGTGAAGGGGCCCTGGGACACACAAATGAATACACAAATAATAACCGGATGCCCCATATTTTCCTTTTTTTTTTTCGATGGGCAGCGCCTCAAGGGGACGACAGGTGGTATCAGAACAGCAGTATCATGGCACCACTCCAAGACTGTGATTGCCCGGGATGCAGCGGCCAGCGCTGTAAATGAGCTGCTACCTTGGGCTCCAGCTCGCTGGATACTGCTGCGTGAAAGGTGCTGCTACCTTGGGCTGCAGCGCCATGCAATGAATGGGATTCAGCCCCAGAACGGGGTAATATGAAAACAAGGATGCCGCCACACAGTGCCTTTGGGAAGTGTGGCCCGAAGTGTGGCCTTTGCCTCCTGTATTTTCTGGGTTTTTGTCTTCCCCCCCACTTCCCATATCTTCCCATATTTTCTGGGGAATCGACGATTAATCGTGTCTGTGTGATTTTTTCCCTCCTGGCAGAGGTGCCCCAGAGCTTCTGCGGGTCCCTGGGGCCATCGGGGATACGACATTTCCGCGGGGGCAGCTGCTGGCAGAGGAGGAAGCAGCATCACAAAAGTAGGCTGTTGGATTCCAGGTGGTTCAGGAAATAGCGACGGGCGGTTTTGCAAGTCTCCGGCCTCCGCAGACCACCACTGGGCCCTGGGATCCACAAAAGCAGCTCGGGATGTGAAACCGGTCGCGGGGAAGGGTCCCAGACCTCCGCAAGTCCACGCTGAGAAAAGGAAAACAACAAAAAAAACGACGTCGGAGCTCTGGGGATCAACAAAAGCAGCTCGGGATGTGAAACCGGTCGCGGGGAAGGGTCCCAGACCTCCGCCAAGTCCACGCAGAGAAAAGGAAAGCAACAAAAAAAAACGACGTCGGAGCTCTGGGGAGAAACGAAAGCAGCATGAACGTACACTGTTGAAGCCCGCCCGAGAGCGATAGGGCATACGTCGGGTCTCCGGCGGCCGTTCGGGACGATCTGGGCACCCCTGGAACGCCCTCGGCGAGGCGCAGCTGCTGGAGAGCACCCCGAGGCTGGAAGACCTCGCGGAACTTGCCGAAACGTCCGAACACCGAAGCGTCCGAAAACCTGAGACTGCGCGACTTCATCCATTGAGGCAGCGCGTGCTGACGAGGAGGGAGCTCGGCGGTGAGGGAGCAACGGCACCGGCGGCCGCGGCGTGCACACCCCACGGAGCGCCCGCGGCACCGGCGCAGCGGCCCCCTGTGTGCACCACGCTCCCCGCGTGCACCACCAACGCCTGCGTGCACTGCAGCCGGATGTAGGGGGAGCTGCACGCCTGCGTGCACTACACCACAACGCGTGCGTGCACTGCGTGCACTACACCCTACCCGCTGCCACCCAACTCAACCCTTCAGGGACGCACGTAAGAGCCCGTTGTGCAAGAACTGTTGGGGGCACTCAGGTTCCCCAAACATTGCATCCGGCGGTTCTTTCTGTGTTCCCTGTGTTCCCTGTGTACACCACGATGCCTCTGCACACGGCAGCAGCACCGGGCTGCTCGACCGATTGGCCCGGGTCGCGTGCACGACAAATTTTCCGGGCCGTTCGCGTGGCAGCCGTACGCCGTTCGCGCGATGAACACCGGGCTGTTCGACCAACTGGCCTGGGTCGTTTGCATGATAAACTTTCCGGGCTGTTCGCGTGACAGCCGTGCGCCATTCGCGCGATTGCTGCAAGCGCCGTTCTTGCGATTCCAATCGACGTCTTTTTTTACAATAAAATCAGTCAACCGTCCAACTCCCGAAGTCCGCAAATCTTCAAACGATTAACAATAAATTTGGCCCCCTTGTGGGGCCACCAGGCTTCATTGCGAAGGTTCGCAGTTTTCTGTACCAGTTGCAGCTTCCAGTTTCCACTGTTACAGTTCTGCTTCTTGCTGCTTACTGTTCCTTGTTGATTCTTGCTGCTTACTGTTCCTTGTTGATGGACCGCGCGAGGGGGGGAGGCCCAAACGGGCAGGTTTAGCACGCCCTGAGCGTGTGCTCTGACTTGCTGGGGTGGGTAAAAATTTACACCCCTTACGCAGATCGGCGGGGTCAGGGTCCAAAAACACATTGGATTTGCCACATTTGCGAAATTCGGTAACACCCCTCACGCAGATCGGCGGGGTCAGGGTCCAAAAACACATTGGATTTGCCACATTCCTGAAATTCGCTCGCACCCCTCACGCAGATCGGCGGGGTCAGGGTCCAAAAACATAAGGGATTTGCCGCATTTCTGACATTCGGTGGCACCCCTCATACAGATCGGCGGGGTCAGGGTGCAAAAACACATGGGATTTGCTACATGTTTTAAAATTCGGTGGCACCCCTCACGCAGATCGGCGGGGTCAGGGTGCAAAAACACATGGGATTTGCCACACTTTTGAAATTCGGTAACACCCCTCACGCAGATCGGCGGGGTCAGGGTCCAAAAACACATGGGATTTGCCACATTTCTGAAATTCGATGGCGCCCCTCACGCAGGGGATTTGCCATGTTTCTTAAAGTCGGTGGCACCCCTCACGCAGAACCGTAGGGTCATGGTCCAAAAACACTAGGGACTTGCCACATTTTCTTAAATTTGGTGGCACCCCTCACGCAGATCGGCAGGGTCACGACGTCTTACCAATCGCCAGGTGTGGTAACCCCTCTGTTCATCTAGTGGTTTTGCTCATTACGAGTCGGCCTCGCATGAGGTTCAGATGCTGCTTCACGACAGCGCCCAGGCCTCATGACATGGCTCTTGCATAGCGCATTCTCCGAGAGGGGGGGGGCCGGCGGCAGGGGGCGAAGCCCTTACGGATAAACCGTTCAACTACCGAAGTCCGCAAATCGACGTTTTTTCAATAAATCAACAGACCGTCCAACTCCCGAAGTCCGCAAATCTTCAAACTATTAACAGGTATTGTATATTTTCTTCGTCCCCAGCGGCAGGGCGAAGAAGCAACCGGCGAACCTCGGCATAAGTGCACTTCGCAGCGCAAGCGCGTAGAAAAACGCAGCCAGCCGGCTAAGAGCGCTAACCGGACACCGGAATGGGAAGACCACGGCGACAATCTACACGGTCGCAGCCCGGGGGCCAGGCATTCAAGTCAAGATGGAAGGGGAAGGATGAGGAGAAGGAGGGGAAGGACCATCTACCATGACCCTGGCGATGAAAGAATTCCTCAGCCTCGAGATCGGGAGGGTCGCTGCCGCGAGTCAGAGGAGAGCTTCAAACGATGGGAAAGACTGCACTTTACGCTCGCGTGCAGGGCAAGCTGCCTGCCCCAAGAGCTATCTACCATGACCCTGGCGATTTAAACATTCATTGTCCTCGGAACCTGGATGGGAGGGTCGTTCCCACCAGTTCGAGACGAACCTCAAATCGGGAAGGTAGCGCTCCGACGCTAGCGAGAAGGACAAAAACGCCTGCCCCAAAGAACTACCTGCCATAGCCTCGGTGATTGTGCCGTATACAGGAGCCTGAACCACACGCGCGCGTCGCGCGCGCTGAGGTTCTAGCCAGGCACAACATTGTCGTCGTCATCTTCATCGTCGCCGCCGCCGTCATTATCATCATCGTCGTCGTCGTCATCACCATCATCAACATATTCGTCGTCGTCCTCTTCATGATCACCGTCATCGTCGTCGTCATCGTGGTCATAGTCGTCATCGTCTCGCCACTGTCACACGGAAGGCTCGTTACTTTCACACGAACGGGTGTCGTAAGAACAACCCACCTAGTCATCTGAACGACTCCGTACTACCATACGAACGAATCATACCTGTCATACAAACGACTCGACCCTGTCATACGAAGGATTCACGATATCAGGAGAACGACCTAATGTTCACGGCAGCACCCATGTGCGCAACAGCGCATGTGAAAACCAGTACCTGGTAAGTGCGTGCACGAGATCGTTTTTGTATACAACGGCGCCTGTGTACACCACAGTGCCTGCGTGCACCACAGCGCCTGTGTAAACCAAGGTAAACCACAGCGCCTGCGGGCACAACAGCACCTGTGCACTACGCAATGCCTACGCACACCACAGCAGCCATGTGCACTGAATAGCTTGTTTGCACCACAGTGCCTGCGTGCACCACAACGCCTATGTACACCACAGTCCATGTGCAACACGCGCCCGCGTGCCCCACCGCCTGCCTCCTCCTCCTCCTCCTCCCTCTCCTCCTCCTCCTTCTCCTCCTCCTCCTCCTCCTCCTCCTCGTCATCATCATCATCATCATCATCATCATCATCATCATCATCATCATCATCATCATCATCATCATCATCATCATCATCATCATCATCATCATCATCATCATCATCATCATCATCATCATCATCATCATCATCATCATCATCATCATCATCATCATCATCATCATCATCATCATCATCATCATCATCATCATCATCATCATCATCATCATCATCATCATCATCATCATCATCATCATCATCATCATCATCATCATCATCATCATCATCATCATCATCATCATCATCATCATAATCACTTCTCCTCCTCCTCCTCCTCCTCCTCCTCCTCTTCTTCCTCCTCCTCCTCTTCCTCCTCTCCCTCCTCCTCGTCCTCCTCTTCATCCCCCTCCCGCTGTTCGTCCTCCCCCTTCTCTTCCTCGTCCTCCTCCTCCGCCTCCTCCTCCGTCCCCTCCTCACCCTCGCATGCCACTGGACGGCCATGATCCGTAGGCAGTGCACGGGGGCCCCTGCGTAGCCCTGTGGACACTGCCAGGACTCGCGCGCGCGGCCGGCTGCCAGGCGTTCCCGTTACGGGGGTTAGTCTCGGTGGGGGTACAGGGCAGGTTCTAACACGTGGGATGTTTCATGAATCGGACTTTTAATACATGATTGATTCACTGATAAATCAATGCATCAAGCCATCATTGTTTTGAATACCAGATCCCCTTGTTTCTAGTACATGATCCGCACGCGGAGCATGTGTGAAAACCGGCGCTGTAGTGCACGTCATCCCGGAGGCATATATAATAATAACAATAGTACAAAAAAAAACAGGGAGCGCGAGCGGAGGCCTCCGGAGGAGGAGGAGGGAGGAGGAGGAGGAGGAGGAGGAGGAGGAGGAGGAGGGAGGAGGGAGGGAGGGAGGAGAGGAGGGAGGAGGAGGGAGGAGGGGAGGGAGGAGGGAGGAGGGAGGCCAATAGCCTCGAGCGCACGGGGAGCGCGAGCGGAGGCCTCCGCACACTCGGGGCGCTGGGGGGGGGCCCCGTCGGGCCCCGGGGCAGGCGAGGCCCAGACAGTGCCCCCGAGGAGGTGGTCGAGACCTCCACCTCCTCCTCCTGCTCCCTCCTCCTCCTCCTCCTCCTCCTCCTCCAACTTCTCCTCCCACTCCCCCTCCTCCTCCTCCTCCTCCTCCTCCTCCTCCTCCTTCTCCTTCTCCTCCCCCCTCCTCCTCCACCATCCGACGCTGCGAACATTATTGTGGTTCGAGCGACCCCCACCGAAACCTCAGGCGCTCGTTCCCGACAGCGCGCGGTCGCCGAATCGGTCGGCAAATGCCGCTTCTGGATTGAAAAAGAGCGTCCACCGTGCTCCATGTAGTCACGTTCTTTCATGCTGTGCTCTATTACGTCGTGTTATGTTCTCGATGGGCAGACGTAGTGTCATGCCACCTGTGACGTTAAATGCGCCGTATGTTATGATGTTGTTCTTCCGTATGTTCCTTTTCGGATTGAGTATGTTATGTCGTGTGCCCATCTCTGTCGCCACACAAACTTAAAACTAGAACCACGCACTCTTCGCGCGCACTCAGGTTCTAGCTGCGCCTAGGGAACGCGCGCCGCAAATCTTCAATGCGTCACTGAGGAACGCAGGGGCGACGTCCGCGCTCGTCTCTGACACGGCGCGGACCGTGGAACCTTGAACAATCGCGGCTTCCGATTGCGCAGATCGTTGGATACCGACCGATTCCAGGCTTCTGGCGTTCGACTGTGAACGCGCGCGCTAGGGTTGCCGCTGCGTCAACGCGGCGATAACCGACCGTACGTGTTCGGGGGGTATCGACCCCGAATGCCCCACGATTTGCGTGTCGACGTTCGTCGATCCTTGATGTTCGAAGTCTGCTCGTCGATTCCGGTCTCTGAGAGCCCGTTGCGGGGGCGCTCCTGAAACTCAACGAACAGGGCGAAACGCGCCTGGAACCCTCCATCCCCCAGCCCGATGAGGGCGGCGGCTTAGGGCGTTTCCTCTTCGAACTTCTTCTTCCCCTTCGGGGAAGGGTTCGCCCTCCGCGCGCCTCCTTCCCCTCGGGCGGGGCGTTCCGCGGGGGAGCGGGGCGTCCAAGATAGCCCAAGATGGCTCCAAGAGGGCCCGAGGAATCCCACGATGGTCTCCAAGATGTCTCAAGACAGCGCGAGCTGGTTCAAGATAGCTCACACTGCGCTCCAAGAAGCCCCGAGATCTCTCCAATATAGGCCCGAGTGGCCGCGGAGCCTCCCAAAGATGCCCTAAGAAGCCAAACATGCACGAAGCGCTAAAAACAAGACCGCTGAGTTTTGCCTTCTCGCCTTTTCGATTCCGATGAGCTTTGAAAACCTCGAGTCGGTTCACAAGACGGCCCAAGAGGGCCCCGCGAGAAGCCCGAGACGGCCCCGAGAGCGCCCGAGAGCGCCTCGAGAGCACCCCAAGGGGGGGGGCGGGGGGCAAGAGGCGACAGGGAGAGACAATGGTGATGGCACACATGGCGGCGCGGTATGGGCAAACGAGGCGATGGCAGACGTGGTCTGGTCCCCCGCGACTCCTGCAAAACTGCGGCCACAGCGCGCGCAAAGACGGTCTGTAGCAGCGGGAGGGCTCCCGGTTCGCGTGCGCCGGTGGTGCCGGTCGGCGCGCGGCGGAGGAGGAGGAGGAGGAGGAGGAGGAGGAGGAGGAGGAGGAGGAGGAGGAGGAGGAGAGGACGAGGAGGAGCACGCGGCGCCGTGTGGCGCGCGGCGTCCGGGGGGGGGCGGGGGGGAAAGACGGCGCCCCGAGGCGCTCGGCGGGTCGACCTGTGTCGCCCCGTCGAGGCCTTCAAGGGGCGCCCGAGGTCCTCCTCCTCCTCTCCTGCTACTCCTGGTCCTTCTGCTCCTCCTCCTCTCCTGCCCCCCTCCTCCTCCTCCTCCTCATCCTCCTCCTCCTCCTCCTCCTCCTTCTGCTCCTTCTGCTCCTTCTGCTCCTTCTGCTCTTCTGCTCCTCCTCCTCCTCCTCCTCCTCCTCCTCCTCCTCCTCCTCCTCCTCCTGCAGCGACGCCCCCAACGAAGTCTGGCGGCGGAGAGAAAACTGCACGCGCCGGTCGCAGTCCATGCGTGCCCAGATGGTCTGGTACCGGAAATTTTCGGTAGCGATTTCGACGCACCCCGAATTTCGGTAGCGACCGGATCTTCGTTCGAGGGCGTTGAAATAGCGGATTTCAGAACGCTCTGATACCGGTACTGGGCGCTACATTTCGTTGAATTCATGACGTTGACATACGAGTTGACGGGTTGACATGCAATGTCAACGTTGACGTTGACGTTGACGTTGACGTTGACGTGACGTTGACGTTGATCAATTCATGCCGATGTTTTCATATGAAAACATCGGCATGTCCGGTCATTGGCGCACCTGCCCCTGGCAAAACGACCGCTAGGCAGGCAGGTCGGGCAGGCCTATGGGTGTTCGGCAGCGTGGCGAAACTCGTGCGCAGGGAGAAGGTTAAGGGGGAGGGAGGGGAAGAGGGAGCAAGGGAGGAAGAAGGAAGGACGAAGGGATGGGAGAAAAATGAAGGGCGAGGGAGGAGCGGGAGGATGAAGAATAATGAATAGGAGAAGCGAGGATGAGGACGATGAGGATGATGGTGAGAAAGGCGGGAGAGGAAGGAGTACGTAATTGGTGTCTGCAGGTTGGGCGGGCTCCTCCCCCCTCCTCCGCCTCTTCCTCTTCCTCCACCACCTCCTCCTCCTCCTCCTCCTCCTCCTCCTCCTCCTCCTCCTGGTCGTCATCATCATCACGATCGTCGTCATAGTCGTCATCACCACCATCACCATCACCACCACCATCCGATTCATCATCACCACCACAATCATCATCGTCATCATTGCCTGTTCGGGGCCCTCTTGGGGGCCTTTTCGGAGTCCTCTTGGGACGTCTTGCGGGCACCTTGGGTGGTCTTGAATTGATCTTGGGTTTTTTCGGCCGTCTTTGGGGCCCTCGTGGGCCGTCCCGAAGCTTCCAGGGAGCCTGGGGGCCTTTGGGGCCGTCTTAAAACCAGTCAGGGCCGCCTTGGGGCCATCTTGGACCGTCTCACGTCATCTTGAAGACATTTGGTGCCGTCCTGAACCCGCTGGTGCCGTCTTGAGACCATCTGTGTCCCAGTCTTGGGGGTGCCTGGGCTCATTATCTTCGGGCCCTCTTGAGTCGTTTTGGGACCCTCTGGGGGGCCTTTTATAATCTTTTATACGCCGTCTTTCGGCCCACTTGGGAGGCCTTCGGGCCGTTGTGGGGCCACCTTGGAAAGCTTTTGGACCGTCATGGGCTGCCAAAAGGCCGGGAAAACGAGAACGCTGAAATTCTTCAAATACCAGATGAACAACAATTTGTCTCCTCTCCTCCCCTCCCCTGCCCACTCTTGCCCGCAGCATTCGAGCGGAGGGCAGCAGCTCACAAGCAGAACTGGATCGATGGCGGCTGCCTGCACAAACAAGCCCCTGCCCGGAAGCATCCCGATGGCTCAGACCACGCAGGATCTGCTGGGAAGAGCCCATCACGCCGTTAACACAAGAAAGAACTGCATATCAGAAAAAAATCGGCGGCGAGACAAATATACATAATCACTCACTGACATGAGCGGAAAAACGGCGGCGGGGCGATCCAATCCGAACATATCAGTCGGGACTCCCATGAAAAAACTCGTGGCGGGAAAATTCTAAATCAGTGAAAAATTAAAATGGTGGGCAACATATTTCAAAAGCAGTATATAAAATATCAATGATATAAAATCACTGCTGGCACTCTTTCCTGGAACCTATAATCAAAAAACAAATCTCACTTGAACTGTCAAAAACAACAACATATACATGAAATCGCCAACTCCCCACCCAGAGAATGTTGACAACGAACCGGGTTTACCAAATGACTATCTGCGTCAATTTCAACAAGCCACGCAAAAAAGAATCATCTTTGCTTACCTCCTCTCTTCCGTTTACCTTTCCCGGCGTCGGCGGGCGGCGGGCGGCGTCGTCGGCAGGCTGGATCGTCTTTCACTATAAAAAAAACCACAGCGGGGGACAGCGGGCAACCTGGCGGCGGGCCCGCTGCCCAGAATCAGTTCAAAATGGCGGCGGCGGGGGGGCGCGACATCCATCCAGTACTGCAGTGAGCACCGAAGAAACCGGAGTGATAAGAGCCCCGCTGTCTCAGACCACACGGGGAGCCAACGCCATTTCCGACCCCTCGAACTGGTAGACAGCGGGAGCAAGCAGAGGCTCTGCCAGTTCGCGGCAGAGCGCCAGGGTGGGCCAGGGTAGGGTGATATCTGCGAGCTGAGCAGCGCCATCAGTAGTGTGAATGCGCGCTGTTCTGGAACTCTCCCGGCGGCCCCGCTCGCACGTGAGGTCCATTTGGCCGGTCTGCCTGAAAAAGTGCGTGGCGCCGCGACGGCGGAAGCTATACAGCTGGAAATTGCGCTCGTGCGCCTGCAATTCATGAAACTATGCTCGTGCGCCGAGCCTGGGCAACGGACAGCGCTCCTCCTAATAGCCTTCGGCACATCCTGCCACCGTGGCTGGGTTGTGGGCCAGAGGCCTCTTGGATGCCTGTTGGGGTCTCTGGGGAAGCCTCTAGGCAGCCTCGTGAAGGCAGTTTTGAAGCCTCTCGGGGGGCATCTTGGGGCATATTTGGGGCATTTGTTGGGCCTCTTGGGTCCTCTTGGGGATGTCAGTTCGAGTCCCTCCCCTGGGGCACCTCTTGGGGCCGTCTTGGGCGGTCCTGGGCGCTTCTTGGGCGGTCTGGGGGCCCTCTCGGGCCGTCCTGGGGCGAAGATTAGGCTTGCAGCTCCCTGTCTCCCTGTGCCAAATGCAGTTTCCGGTTTCCACTGTTACAGTCCTGCCTGCTTTCTGCTCCCTTACTGGAAATTGTTGCTGAACGCGCGAGGGGGGGAGCCGAAAAACGTCATGGCTAGCGTCCGCGAATCGCGTTGTCTGAATTCCTGGGGGGTCGTGGGACACGCAAAAAATACATAACATTCGCATCCCCGAGGTCACAATCCCTTGTAAATTAAAAGATAGTCGCACCCCCGAAGCTATAAACCCTCGTAAATTACACAATGTTCGCATCCCCGAAACCATAATCCTTAGTAAATTACTTAATATTCGGGTCCCCACAACCAACAACCACAGTTAATTACGCAATGTTCGCGCCCCCGACGCCATACCCCCCCGGAAATTACAGAATAGTCGCACCCCCGAAGCCATAAGCCATCAAACATTAAGCAAGATTCGCGTCCCCAGGGCCATAAACCTTCGTAAATTACCCCGCATTGCGTCCCCGAGGTCACAAAACCCTTAGCAAATTATGCAATATTCGCGTCCCCGAGGCCATAGACCCTAGTACACTACTTAATAGTTGCGCCCCCGAGGCCATAAACCCTTTTGCATTACGCACTAGTTGCGTCCCCGAGGCCGCAAACCCTCGCAGTATTCGCGTCCCCGAAACCATAAACCATGGTAAATTACCTGATGCTCGCGCCGCCGAAGCCAGAAACCCTCGTACATTATTATTGGCCCCCGCGTGAAGTGCTGACACTGCTTCACGTCAGCGTCCATCCCAACACCGCTCTGGCAAGTCCCATTCTAAGAGAGGGGGGCCGGCGGCATGGGGGCGACGCCCTTACGGATTATACTTACGCATGCTGGAAAACAGCAATGGCTGTCAACGAACACCGTCGAAGAGCCCGTGCTCGCGGAAGAACGAGCAAATGAAAGGCGCTAAATACGAGGAGGCAGCCGTGTTGAGATGATGAGTGTCTGAATAGGCCAAATAGTCGGTCTTAGGAATGAACGGGCCGCAAGACTCGATGCCGCAGAACAGGCCCTCCACCCCGAAGTACAACCAGTCGCTCCCCGCACGCATGGCCACGAGGACTGGGTTCTGCATCACCTCGCTCCTGGCGGGGAAGCAGTATGGCGGCTGGATCATCGGCATCACGCGGCAGCGCAAAGGGTTGTCTGTAGTCAAGAACTTGTATTGGTCCCCAAAAGCAACGAGCGCCGCGCCCTTGGATTTGACGATGGCACCCCACTCCTCCAGAAAAGACAGGTACTTGCCGATCCACTCCTTGTCGTCGCGCTTCATGAAGAAACTGATCGCCACGACGTCTCCTGGCCGCAAGGTCCTGGCAACAATTTGCTGCAGCTCCGTCCGAACGCCACTCCACGAGTCCGTATTGACCATCAACCTGGCACCGATGCTGGCCCAGGTGTGGATGTCGAATTCGCCTCGCAGGGCAAGCGACAATCCTGGAAAGAGCCTCTGCGAGTGCGAGTCGCCTAGGAGAAAGAGGACCGGCTTCCTCTGAGGATCTGCACTGGGCTCCAGGCAGTGCGACATCATGCCTACGATCTCGACCCGAGCTTTCGACAGGTTGGGCTCTCGGGAGCACCTCCTCTGGGGGTCCGTGCGCGGCAGGCGGCAGTGCGTTTCGCCCTGGCAGAGCCAGCCGCCGCCGCAATGAGCTAGTGGTGCCCAGCAGGCCTTGGGAGCTACAGAGTAGCTCAGGTCGAAGCAGGAAGGCAGATCCGGCCTGCTGTCGTTCACCGCCGCCGGCGGGGCGTGGAAGAACTCTGGTGCTCTGGTGCACGCGCATCCTGTGCTGGGCAGCTGGATGTGCGGGGTCTTGAGGCGGCCGTACGCCTCGATGTCGAAGCGCGGCACGGGCGAGCTCCAGGACAGAAGGGCCTCGAACAGCGGGGTCCTGAGCAGGGGCCAGCTGAGCAACAGAAGACAGGCCACAAGGGCCAGCGAGGCAGGCATCATCGCTGCGAAGACGCTCTGGTGCCTGCTCGGGCGCCAGGAGCGAAAGCCCGCCTCGACAAAATGATAAGTTAGGGCGGACACCGCGAACGTGATCGATGCCAAAACGAAGCGCCCTGCTGGACTTGCCGAATCGGCTGATGAGAACTCCCTGGCAAAACACAAAACTGGCCAGTGCCACAAATAGAGCGGGTAGGATAACTTCCCGATGTGCACTGGCACCGTGCCGCCTAGTATGCTGTGATTCAGAAGGCTGTCGTGGCTCTGCCCCGCGACGATGAAACAGACCGCCCCGGCGACGGGCAGAACGGCGCCGGGGAAAGGGAAGCCCATGGCCTCTGGCGTGACGAACCAGAAGCTCGAGCCCAGAAGCAGCAGCGCCATCAGCTGGGCCGCCAGAGCCGCCGTGCGTCCCCAGGCCTCGTGCCAGCAAGCTCGCCCGGACGCCTCCACCTCGGCGATGACAGCCGGGGGAACAAGAAGTTGCAACAAGCATAAGAACTCGGGGGTCCGCGCGGATTCCTCGGATGGGCGCTTTGACCCCCCCCCATGGTGCGCGGAGCGCGCCAGGGGCGGCCCTGGAGGCGCCGCCGAGGAGCCCCAGCGCCCGACCCGAGGAGTCCGCGCGGACCTCAAAAGCTGTCATGCTGATGCCACTTCCGTGTTCCTCTGATGGCACCAGCGGCGAGCTCCCAGAACCGCGCGGGCAGGGCGTAGAAGGCCAGGTCGGGCACGTGCACGGTCATCCACCAGCAGGCGCACACCGACAGCGCCGCGCACGCCGCAAGGGCGGCGGCGGGCGCGGGCCGCGCGGGGCCGGGGTCCGTCCCCGGCGTGGCGCGAGGCCGACGGTGCATCAGCAGCAGGAGCACGGGGAAGACGAGGTAGAACTGCTCCTCGACCCCCAAAGACCACGTGTGCACGTACGGGTTGGCGGCTGCCCTGTCGTCGCCAGTCATCTGGTCCCAGTACCCCCCATCGCCTTGCTGCGAGAGGAATCCGAAGAACAGGTTGGCGACGCCGCACACAGCACACGCAGCGCCTGAAAAATAGTCGCTCAAGTGACGAATACCGGGCGGTTCGGTGAGCGCAAAGATGAGCCCACTGACTCCGATCATCAACAACAGTGCGGGGGTCAATCTTTTGATGCGTCGTGCGTAGAATCCACATAGAAAATCTGATACACTGCTGCTTTGATGGCTAAGCAAAGAGCCTGTGACGACGTATCCAGAGATCACGAAAAACACGTCGACCCCTGTAAAGCCGCCGGGCAACCATCCCTCGTTCATGTGATATATTATGACGCTGATAACTGCTACAGCTCGCAAGCCATCCACGTCGGGGCGATACTTGATCACCGACGCACCCAAGCTGCCGTGCAAGCCGCAGCTGTCACCTTGTTCGGTGCCGGAAGAAACGCTAGATGAACTCTGGCTGTCACTGTTGTCATCCACCCATGGATCGTATCCAACCGCCTTCATTGAAGAAGCTATAGCCCCGCGCACAACAGAACAAAAAACGCACGCGCCGCCCCCCGCTTGAGTCAAAATGGCTACGGTCCTCTGGGAGCTAACTTGGGGCGTCTTGGGGGCCTCCTGGGCCGTCTTGACGCCATCTTGGGCCGTCTGGAGGCCGTCTTGGCCCACCTTTGACCGGCTCGGAACCGACCTGGCAACTTTTTTTGGGGGGGAGGCTCTGGGAACGCTCCGGGAGCCGGGGGGGGGCACTTAGTGTTGTCTAAACGCCCCTGGTGTGCTGGGGCCCGGGGCTCCCCAAGGTTGGGGCTCCGGTATATAAGAGATGCTATGGTATGATCTGCTCTGTGTTTTTATGTTATGGCATGATATGCTACGTCAGAATATGTTATAGTACGACTTGCTCCGTGATGCTGTTGGCAGATCGGCTCTGTATAGTAAAATAGGATATGCACTGCTGGTATGTTTCGCTGTACTTTGCTGTCGTGATATGAAATGTTATGTGATGATGTCATTGTACGATCCGATATGGTCTGTCGTGGTGCTTTATGTTATGCTTGGCTATGTTATGGTTGGTAGTGTTCTGTCGTCTTCTGCTCTGTCATGTTATGCTCGAGTATGTTGTGTGATGTTATGTTTGTTGACGGCTCGGCTCTGTATAAAAAAAATGATCCACTCTGCTAGTATGTGTCGCTGTCTTCTGCTGTCGTGTTCTGAAATGTTCTGTGGGGTTTCGGTTCGTTTTCGCCCCCCCGCGATTTTGAGATTTTTGCTGAAAGGCCTGCGTATTCTTCTTCATCACTCCTCTTCCTCGTCGTCCTCCTTCTCGTCCTCGTCCTCTCTTCCTCGTCGTCCTCGTCGTCGTCCTCGTCGTCGTGTGGGATCCAAATTGACCACACATGGATTTCATTGGAAAGCCTCTCAACAGGACCCCTCGGGAAAGCACCACAGAGGGAGGGTTCAGCGCCGCAAGTACGACCCCCTCCCCCGACCTCCTCCCTGAGGCTCCTCTCCGTCCTCCGCCTCCTCCTCCTCCCCCCCCTCCTCCTCCCCCATCCCCCCTTCTGAAGGAATGGAACAACTTGGGGACAACCATGGGAAAAAAACAACAACCACAAAAAACCTGAAGTACTGGAGGCGAAAACTTTTAGGACACCCATTGGGCAAACCCACAACCGTGGTGTTTGTTTGTTTGTTTGTTGTTGTTGTTTATGTTGCTGTTGCTGTTGCTATTGTTGCTTTGATTGCTGTTGTTGTTATTGTTGTTGTTGTTGTTGTTGTTGTTGTTGTTGTTGTTGTTGTTGTTGTTGTTGTTGTTGTTGTTGTTTTGTTTCCTATGGTTTTCCTAAAGTGTTTGCCTCCAGCTCGTCAGTTTCTTTGTGTTTGCTGGTTTTCCCCATGGTTGTCCCAAAGATTTTGCGTTCCTTCAGAAGGGGGGTGGGGGAGGAGCTCCAGGCTGCATGGGTATAAAGCGCTTTCGGCCCTCAAAAGCTTCGAAACAAAAAACGCTCTCATTCCGACTCAGGCGGGGGCCTCGTCTTGTTTGCGTTTTGGGGACTTCTCAGGCGGGGGCCGGAGGGAACCATGAAAGAACCATGGGGGGAGCCATGAGGGAGCCGTGCAAGGGGCGGGGGGGGGCATCCTTCTTATCCCCCTCCCCTCCTCATACTCATATCCTGGTATCCTGATATTGCATCTTGATGATGATGATGATGATGATGATGATGATGATGATGATGATGATGATGATGATGAGGAAGCTGAGGAACATGAGGATGCTGAGGATGATGAGGAAGAGGATGTCAGATGCAGATAAGAGGACGATTAAGATCAGGATGAGGACGGGGATGAGGAAGATAATGACGATGAGGACGATGAAGATGAGGAGGAAGATGAGGAATATGAGGAAGCGAGAGGAGCAGAGGATGAGGAGCAGGAGGAAGAGAATCTACAATATCAGGATACACGGAGATGAGGATGAGGAGAGGAGGGTGATGAGAAGGATGCCCCCCCCCCGCCCCATCCACGGCTCCCTCATGGCTCCCCCCATGGTTTCCTCATGGTTCCACCAAGCTCCCGCCTGAGAAATCCCCCAAACGCAAACAAAACGAGGCCCCCGCCTGAGTCGGAATGAGAGCGGTTCCTTTTCGAAGCCTTTGAGGGCCGACAGCCCCCTATTCCAATCCAGTCTGGAGCTCCTCCCCCACCCCCCTTCTGAAGGAACGCAAAATCTTTGGGACAACCATGGGGAAAAGAAACAAAACACTAAAGAAACTGGACAACCATATGGAAACATTATCCTGGCGAAGGACCCAACCATATGAAATTGTGAATACCGCAATTGTGAATATCTTCTTCGGTGGCGCTCCCTATGGGGCCACGAAGCGTGTGAGGGGTGTGCCGAAATGGGTGCGCGGGACGCGTGCGGGCACACCCACTGGGGCCTTCGGTGGAGCTCCCTATGTGGCCACGAGACGTGTGAGGGGTGTGCCGAAATAGGTATGCGGGACGCATGCAGGCACACCCACTGGGACCTTCTTTTACGGGGCCACGAAACGTGCGAGGGGTGTGCCGAAATGGGTGTACGGGACGCATGCGGGCACACCCACTGGGGCCTTCGGTGGAGTTCCCTATGGGGCCACGAAACGTTTGAGGGGTCACGAAACGCGTGAGGGGTGTGCCGAGGTGGGTGTGCGGGACGCATGCGGGCACACCCACTGGGGCCTTCGGTGGAGCTCCCTATGGGGCCACGAAACGTGTGAAGAGCATGCCGAAATGGGTGTGCGGGACGCATGCGGGCACACCCACTGGGACCTTCGGCGGAGCTCCCTATGGGGCCACGAAGCGTGTGAGGGGTGTGCCGAATTGGGTGTGCGGGACGCATGCGGGCGGCAGCGCTGGGGCCTTCGGTGGAGCTCCATATGGGGCCACGAAGCGTGTGAGGGGTGTGCCGAAATGAATGTGCGGGACGCATGCGGGCACACCCGACGGGACCTTCGGTGGAGCTCCCTTTGGGGCCACGAAACGTGTGAGGGGTGTGCCGAATTGGGTGTGCGTGACGCATGCGGGCGGCAGCACTGGGGCCTTCGGCGGAGCTCCCTATGGGGCCACGAAACGTGTGAGGGGTGTGCCGAATTGGGTGACGCATGCGGGCGGCAGCACTGGGGCCTTCGGCGGAGCTCCCTATGGGGCCACGAAACGTGTGAGGGGTGTGCCGAATTGGGTGTGCGTGACGTATGCGGGCAGCAGCACTGGGGCCTTCGGCGGAGCTTCCTATGAGGCCACGAAACGTGTGAGGAGTGTGCCGAATTGGGCGTGCGTGACGCGTGCGGGCGGCAGCACTGGGGCCTTCGGCGGAGCTCCTTATAGGGCCACGAAGCGTGTGAGGGGTGTGCCGATTTGGTTGTGCGTGACGCATGCGGGCGGCAGCACTGGGGCCTCCGGCGGAGGTCCCTATGGGGCCACGAAGCGTGTGAGGGGTGTGCCGATTTGGGTGCGCGTGACGCATGCGGGCGGCAGCACTGGGGCCTTCGGCGGAGCTCATTATGGGGCCACGAAGCGTGTGAGGGGTGTGCCGAATTGGGTGTGGGTGACGCATGCGGGCGGCAACACTGGGGCCTTCGGTAGAGCTCCCTATGGGATCACGTAACGTGTGATGGGGTGTGCCGAATTGGGCGTGCGTGACGCATGCGGGCGGCAGCACTGGGGCCTTCGGCGGAGCTCCTATGGGGCCACGAAACGTGTGAGGGGTGTGCAGAATTGGGTGTGCGTGACGCATGCGGGCGGCAGCACTGGGGCCTTCGGCGGAGCTCCCTATGGGGCCACGAAACGTGTGAGGGGTGTGCCGAATTGGGTGTGCGTGACGCATGCGGGCGGCAGCACTGGGGCCTTCGGCGGAGCTCCTATGGG